TGACCTATATGCGAAGACAAAGACTGACTTTTCCTTTGTTTTGTTCTCTTTCGTTAAAAAAAAAAGAAAAGAAAAGAAAAAGACACGAATAAAATGCAAGTCCACAATTTTGGCAGTTGACATAACTTAAGCGATTCGTCGTTTTTCAATAGTCGAAAAATTTCCTCGCTTGTCTTATCGTTTATATGGCTAACGCTAGTGCCGCGTACAAATCTAGAGCTTTTAAAAACAACTACGATATTATAAACTCTACCTATCGCCGCTGTGTACACGTGTGAGTTCGTTAAGTAAAAACATCTAATTTTATATTCGTGGCTCTGGCTATTCAGAGCGATCAAAAATTTGTTTGATCGGAGCGCGGGAATGGTTCGGACCATACTTCTAAGAACCAACTTCTTCAGGCCTGGCCAATGGTGCTTTCGACTTTTCGGTGGTCACAGTAGTTGTTGTCACTTCCAGGTTTGCTAAGTCGGCTGCCCTAATCTGCAAAGCGATAACGAACCATGAAGGATCTGAATTTGTGTTTCATTGATCTTTGATTAATAATTTACAAAGTCTATCGACGACCCAGTTAATTAAAGGAGGCTTTACTACATCTACGAAAAAATTGTTACTTAAGTTATGAAAATAGAAAAAAAATTGTTAAAAAAATGCCGTAGCAGGTAATACAGTAATACCTGCAACCACGTCCATTAATAGCGAAGAATATTTTTATAAACTTTAAAACTATGGTTTTAAACGCAACACGCGAGTTTGTAAGTATTACTGCATGTTTGTTGGCTCAATGTTTTAACATTAGAAGTATCGAACAATAACAGTTCTAATGTTAACGGACTTATGCGCCAATACGGGCCATGTTAGTGTGTTAATAGCTGACAAATATTTGCTAAGCATTAATCGGTACGGCTTAAATATCGAGGTGAGGTCCGACACCAATTATTCGCAATAGACTCAGTGCCATTTGCTGACCTCGACGTTTGGGGGCAGAGTGATGGTAGCGTGTGTCGTGGTTGTCTCGGTACCGCTGCGTATCTCTCTCTCTACCGTAGTGCCTGCGCAATAATAAATAGCACGGAACAAAACAATAACGAAAATAAATACAAATAATAACAAAGAAGGGCAATACAAAATGAAACAAGAAGAGAGAAAACAAAAATTATTGTAAAGCCATGAAAGACAAATACAATATATCAAGCGGTCGATGAATTGTACAGTACTTCGATTAAATATAGATCAATTATTCGTAACCTTCCAAAAATTGTTAGATTCGTCGACCTAGAAAATATTGAATTAAAAATGACGTTTATAAAAATGTGCGTTGAAAGAATAAAAAGATTTTCTACTGAAAAAGGTGTGTAGCGACTTCGTCACCACGTTTTTGATTGATTTGTCCGTCCGCGGTTCTCTGTCTTGGACCGGGTATATAAACCCGGTAAAACAGAGGAACGCGGCGGACGGCATTTAGGCATATTTGGAGCATTTTCGGCGCGCGGCATACAACAGTAGACGAGCGACATCCGACTTTCAATTGGAACAGTAGAAAAACGGCATCTAGAGATTCCATTATTAACTGGAGCATCGTCCCGCCGACGCGTTACTCCAAAAAAGTACATCGTACAACCGCGCTGTATAAAGATACGAATAAATACCCGATTTTTGATACTTCCGCGAACGCAAAACGTGGGCGTGAATTGTGTTTTACTGTCTCCTCATTACCCTACACTCCACTCCCACAGGTGTATAACATTCACGGTTCGTAATTACTACATTGATTGATAATTCAGAATTAACAGGAATTTATCAATAGTTTTGTGGCGTCTTAATCGAAAGGGTTCCAATAGTGGATCAGTTGCAGATCAGTCTAAATCAGTCTCGTGACAGTTTCGTGGAATTCTTGTTGTCGTATTGTAGTATCTAGAATTTTTAGCGTAGGTTAAGGTATTTTTAAGAAGAGTGAATGTAAGAATGAGTGTGAGTGAAGGACAGGCCTGCACAACGTCGCGGACCCAAGATTGCAGGGCCAGCTTCCCAGGGGTGCATCCAAGTGTTTGTAATGAGTGCGAGTGAGAAGAATGCTTGTGGGGGAGAGAATGCCTGTGAGAGAGTGGCGGGAGCAGAGTCGTGTGTTGGCCTCCGTGGCATTGAGTTGTATTGTTACGTACTGTCCGTGTTGTTTCCATATTTTATTAAATACATATATTTATTCCTAGTTCTCGACTACTCAAGATCCACCTTTTCATTATCTATAATATAGTAATCACTATAGTATTCGTACAAACGAATCTTCGCTTCAGTATGCAGAACGCGTGACTTTGTAGAAAACAATACAAAATATATGTTGTTATACGAAAGATACGATTCTATGGTGTTTCCGTAGCACCTTGTACTGCTTTCTTAAATGACGGGGAACGAGACACGTCGCGATTCAATGTAAACACGGCTGAGCGTTCCGAGGACAGAACGAAAAAGGATAACCGAACTCGAACCTCGAACGCGCAACGAACGACAAATAAAGGATCTCGATCAAAACGCACAGCCGTTCCATTTTTTTCGTCACCCACAATTTCACTCACTGTTCATTTGCTGCGTTTCGTTCGTCTGACTCGTTTCGACCTCTCCATTGGCGGTGGTATTGTTGGTCGTCTGAGAGACAACGGTGGTTGTCTTCACAACTAACGACTGATTCTGTGTGGAAATTTCCGAGGTTCGCGAAGTCACCTCCATCTTAAGCCCTGCAAGACGACTGTGAAGTTCTTCGGAAGACGTTGCATTTCTGAAAAGTGAACTGTTACTGCCAAGGAGATGGCAAGTACACAAAAACACACATTCATTAGCCGAGCAAAATAAAATCATTACAAAGCCAGCTTCTGCGCAGAGTTAATTCATAAAGTTCTCTTAGATACATCGACGGCTTGCACTTCACAAAATTCTGTAAGTAAAATGCCTCTCGATGATTCATCGAGATTATAAGTAATGAAAGAAGCAACACGAGTAGCGCCAATAAAATAAAACGGTAAGAAGCTAGGCTCGGTGGCAACATCTTCACTTACAGTAAATGGTCCTTGACACTATCGATCGTGATGTCTCCTATAGAGCTTAGGTCTTGACGATCGTCATCCCCGTTGACGTCATTGGTACTTGCTGCTGGCCGTAGGGTTGGTTCTTTCGGGGACTCATCGCCACCGGCTAAAAGACACGTGTTCAAGAATAGGTACTAAAGGGTTACGGTTAAGACACACTGCTTTTCCCGGTGATGTTAATCGATGTGAAGTACAGTTTTAGCAGCTAGCTCTCATTTAATGAATTACGGAGATGAATATAGCAAAGCGACACATATATGTATATGTATAAAGATGTACACAGGTTACAAGTTATGCAAGCTGTTACGCATATGTTTTAGTAGTAGCACATTTTAACATTTTCCTATGACGAACTGGTAACTCGTCTACTGATATAATAAATATAAGTTTAAAGTAACCGTCTCGTGGGAGATGATATATACTCACTGGAACCGACGACACCGTTCTCCGTTATCGTCCTTTGTACCGGAGCAGCCGGTTGACTACCTTGCGTGTCGCCTTCCGTTTCCGTTTCACTTTCCGCGACACCTTGTTCCTGAACTTTCTCCTTCGCGTTGGTTTTATTGGTGTGCGACCTTGCGTTAGGCGGCAGATTTAGCGCGCAGTGCGTTTTCGTCTCGTTACTAGCCGATAAAGAAATTCGTTGGAGCTCCGAACTGGAATGCAGGTACAGAGCTTCTCCGGATTTCGTGAATGTCAACGAGGAAATGCCACTAAAATGACAACGGAATTATTCAGAAACGAAACGAGAGATTAGAATAATCTTCGGTACGCAATGAATCTGGTATAAAGAACACTCACTTAATGTCTTCGCGTTTTATGGCAGCAGCGTTCAGTTGTCTTCTGAATTCCGGAATGCTGAGCACTAAACAATCTCCGAGGTTGGTTAGACACAATAAATAAGTCTCCTCGTGTGTTCCCGCAGGTTCCACAGGACACGTGAACTTCGCAAAACCCGTCTTCCGCACTCGCGAACCCTCGTGCGCGGTCAGCTTGTATTTACAGAACGGTTTCAACGACGGAAGATTGAAGATTTTAAATTGTTCCTCGCTAGCGATCACTACTCTGTGCGGGGAAGCCATGTCGGGACCGGGGCACACGCCTTTCTCAGCCTCGAATGGTTCTGGTAGAGGAACGTTCGATCCGTCCAGTATCGTTATCGCAATTACGGGTGCTCTGTGCTTTAATTGAATCTCTTTTCCTAATGTACAATTTACATCCTCCTCTGTTCGCCTGACGCCTGCCGGTATCGCTAATGTGAAAACGTAGACTGTACCATTATTGGTACCTGCCCATAATGTGGGGGTGGTGTTCCTCACTACACAAGAAAGGAGAAAATTAGAATGTATTTTCTATCCTATACTCCTCACTTTTATGAACTATACTTACTGCTGATAATGTAACTCCTAGCAAAATATAAACATCGGACCATCGAACCGAGAGCATCGTCCACGGGTCTCGCTTCCACTTGTCTTTCCACGGACTTCAATTCCACCGGTGAAAGCTCGCCGCTCGGAGAAGAAGCGACACTGGTACTGTTACATTTAATGATACATTAACCCACTGATTCGTTCATGCAGGCTACAACCAACAAGAAGCAACTCACGTCTCCTTCTTTTCCACTGGGGCGTTCCTCGTCGGACTTCCAGCGTTCATCCTGCGCTGTGATCTTCCTTTTCTTAATCTCCTGAAGGACTCCCTCAACGATTTTTTAAACGACTTTCTTCTAGAAATGGGCGTGTCTCCCGCGCCAGAAAGATCTACAAAATGCGTACCATTGATTAATACGGAAATTGCAGATACAACGCGAGACAGATTCTATTTTCGTTGGCTTTAAGTACCATTTGGATTGAGGGTGCACTTGACAGTGACAGCTTTCGACCTAGTATAATCAAAGACCGCTAAACCGTGGGCGGTACCAGCAGCTAGTAATCCCCACTCGCTGTGCATTGCCAATGCGGTGACGGTAGCCGGCGGATACAATTGAAGAAGATTCTGCGGTTGAAATCCGACCGCGAAAGATATGCTCGTGGTTCTTACGGGCAAATGATCGTGGCCTTTCCAAACGAAACCGTCACGATCGTTCACGATGTTCATGGTGACAGCTTTGATCTCCTTGTTCGCTGGCTCGGACGATATGGAAGCAGTGATAACATGGCCGGCAGTGCCCGCAACAACCAACGTCGAGGAGAGAGGGCACAGCAGGACTTTCTTCACCGCTAGTCGCGGGTCATCCGAATACGGATCAAAGGTACCAACTTTTCTAAACGGAGGCCACTCATCTTCATCGTCTTCCGGCGGTTGCTCCAAAACGTCTAGATGCTCACCGGTGAACAAGATGGACGAATTATACTTGTACAACGGCGTCAACGCAACATCCGAGGCGTCCCAGAACCTAACCGTTCCATCCTCGTGTCCTGTGAGCAACAATTCTTTACCCTTTGGCTTGTCACCTGCTGCTTTAGGATTGAGGATCCCCCCATCGATCAGCCACGGTTTATCCGAGTATAAGTGTTCGGTCTGCGCTTTTCCAGCCGCGACAATGCTATTCCAAAGTTCGTCGGGCACGTTTGGCACGTGTTGCGAACAGGTAACCTGAAACAGCGATGCGTACCATGTAGTCTTTAAAAATGTAAACTGAAACCAGTCGATCAGATTGAATTGAATATTTACAGCGCTCGCGTGAAGGGACACTAGATAAGGCAACGCCATCATCTTCCATTCGGGATGGGTCAAATCGATGGCTACAATCTCTTCCTCGGCCAATACGACAAGAGCTTCCGGGCCATCAGAAGCGTCCTTGCCGTCTTCTTGCTTGGGGAATACGGTGAAGAAATCGATCACTTTCGAAGTGAAGTCGAAGACCACGTGTTTCTCCTTCGACATGACGGTGAAGGTGTCACGGTCGCCGTAGCTGGCTCGCTGCATACCGCCAGAGAATAGGACCAGTTCTCCGTGTCTATAAAAAGGTACGTATGTACATATATTCCTTTTGAGAATCGAATAGAAGCTGGGGCACCTTCGATGACTGAATCGTCGACTTACTCTTTAGTAGGATAGACGAGAATCTTCGTGATGGCTTTGCATGGGAACGGCCCGTAAGGGGTGGTGGATTCCAGCATGGTATCGGACCCGGAGCTCCAGAACGCGTACGAGCCGTCGTTGTGCGAGGAAACGAAACGGGTCTCGGAGACCCAGTGCACCGATTCCAGCTGTTGCGTGGAGACGAACGTCTGCGCACGCGAAAACAAACCCATCAGCTGCACGTACACGTTCGCCAAAACCACCAAAGACACAACAAACAACAATCAGAACCAACGGTACCATTTCACGTGTCGCGCTTAACCCATCAGCAACCACACCACCTCCTGCCAATCTGCTGGCGAACGATCCTGTCTTTTCAATGTCTGGCGTTACGAGGGGAAATGGTTTCTTAAGGGGAACCCAGCAGGAGGATAAAGAGTAGGATGCGTCAGTAGAGGGTAGAATTTGCAACGAAACGTTCTCGATCGTACCGAATCGGACGATCTCTATGTCTGACAGAGTGTTCTCTCGTTCGAGCGAAGACTTCGGTTTCGTTCGACATTCGAAGTGCAAAAGACCAACGATTCTAAAGAAGTTCAATGAAACTCTTGCTTTACTTCGATATCAACTTTCGCGCGGAAACCTCTGCTGAACGTGTTTAGTCTTTCCAATCAGACGACAAAGATCATCGTCGATTATTGGAACGGTGTGCGTGAATCGAATCGCGTATTAACGTTCCGATCTTCATTAACGGGACCATCTATACCCTGATTAGTAGCTATTAAGTGCCGTAGCTCTGTAAAAAGTAATGTCATTAAAACAGAATTTTCTCCACCGATGGGTTAAGCGTTTCCCCACAGATATATAAGACACAAGCTGTGTGTGTAGATTGATTGTTAACTGTAAGCAGTGTTATTACGCTCCACGCAGTATAGTTTCGTGTGTACATTGACGGACATGTAAGGAGTTACAAGAACAATAAGAACGAAGGCTCACCTGTTGGGCTCCTGGAGTCGCTTTGTTCCACAGAACCATTAAACCGCGATTGTAACCTATCAGAATATTGTCCGGATGACCTGGTTGTTCCGCTATCGCCTCGACCGCACGCGGATTCTTCTTGTAATCATTCGGTACGCTGTCACAGAGGAGACACGTAAATCCATGGTTTCAACGGCTAAGAAGCTAACGGACCCGTCGTTCCATTTCTAACGAGTCCACAGTCATTTGACCCATAAACGGTCACTGAACAGTGAACGCATTAACGCTAGAACTACCATCGAAGTCAAAACGACGCACTCCGAAATTCCTTTACAATTGTCAACGAGATAACAGTTCCTCCGACTAATTACTAAGGTAGTTGGATTACCAACACGCAAACTGGAAACTGTTCTGCGTAATCACAGGTCAATTGAAATCTCAATAGACGCACTCTTAGAGTTTCTATAGGAAAATTTAAAAATGTCAATTTGACTGCTCGGTGGTTCCAGCGTTGAAAACGATAGAAAAAATCTGCAAGCATCTAAAGAGACTCTCCTGCATTTCATTGAACGCTCAAGCGAAGCGAATGTATCGTATCAGAATTTAAAAGAGACACTCAGACTATTCCTAAGGTTCTTAGGATGAAATTTATTGTTTCTATGCTCCCCGTTGCATTATGCATTCGCATTCCGCGACAATGGATCCTGGAAAAGAAGAGAGATTCTTACTTCTGTATCACTACTTCCTGGTAGATGATGTTATCGGATGTCGTGAAGGTCTTCATGTTCAGAAGATAAATGTTACCGCCCTCGGTGCCGAGGAGAAGGTTCTCGCCGCTCGATTCCAGGCACATCGCGGACACTTTAAACTTCCCCTCCAACGAGAAGCTCTGCGTCTCGATGATCGAGCTCTCGTCGATCTCCCACATGTGCACCGACTTGTCCAATAGGGTAACCAGTCGGCCCTGTTTTCAGAAATGGAAAATCTCCTCTCAATCGAAACGTACAGCAAACCGGCTCGATCCTCATCATTCTCTTCTCCTTTTCGATTCATCTGATCGTGGCACGCGCATAGGAAACCTCTGCGATCTACATCACCATCGTTACAAGTTAAAACATTCGTATAATCCGTTCCAATCCCGTGGTTACATTCGATAATCTCAGAAATCCCACTGAACCCGTCGCGGTATACACGATATTAAACGACTCGAACAACCGCGCGGAGTGTCGCGCGAGTGGTTTTCGCAATTTCGTAGTTTCTCACGAGCCAACTCCCGTGCCTCTTTTTCCTCGAGCGCCGATTCTTCGCGACGTCGAGTGAAAACCCGAAGAAAACGCCGGAGCTCCGCATTTCCTTACTTTCACGCGGATCAAGCGCGAGGCGGCACGTTTTTCGCGAGTGTTTCCAGCGCACGGAAAAGCGCGGCTCGCGTTATTAATGCGTGCAGCTAAACGATCCTGATTGCGGTCGGCTCGGGAAAACTTCTGTTCTGTTCCAGTTCTGGAATTGATACGTCGCGAGCCGCGGGACTCCTTGAACTTTCCAATCCCGGGATGAACCTTAATTAACGCGATTAACAGGATTGCGAATCCGCCGCGCTGGATTTGCGCGAGGCTCGCGTTTCTCCCGTGACCGCCAGACATCGAACCCGATACGTCGTTGTAATCCGAATCCCGAGGCGCAACTGTTAGCGAGTCATTTCTTCTACGGTGCAATTAGAAAGAAGCGCATAGAAGAAACGTAATAGAAGAGTTTCAAGGAGGCGTCTTTTACCGCCGCCGATTTGTATTTTCTTGCGACGTTTCCGGCTAATCGCGGCGAACGCCGAGTTGATTGGCAACGGTTCAATGGACCAGGCGGTTCAGCCACGTTGACGAAACGCTTTATGGTCCGATAATCATGGAAGTTCCCCGATCGAGCCTCGTACGATCCTGCCGCGATGAGATTATAATCATGGCACTCGCTATCTTATCGGTCTTTCGATTCTACAAAGAAATACGATAACAGGTTTACATGTCCCGTAATACAGCGACGACTTAAGTGCTCGATTTAATTCACGAATCGACAGATCCGATTCTATATAATATTTCGAAACGACCGATTTGTGGCAATTAACTCTAGATATTCGATCGCGTTGAAAATATTTTCGAGAAGCTGTCACTGGAGGTTTTTGATGAATTATCGAAGTTTCGTACGGTGACTGATAATTTTAATTATGATTCGAAATTTAAGGATCGAAACGGAAGTGTAGCTATGTACTTTGAATCGATTAATCTATAATTTATTGTCCGAGTTATCATAAAACGATAAACAGAGGAAAAATGACAAATGACAGGATATGCTTGAGACAGTCTTCGAATGGGTCTACACAGACCCTGTCCCCATACTCCGAGGGTTAATCACGGCCTCGGACAGGAGGCTCGTGCTACCAGATGAAGTTAATAAGAGAACCGTCGCCTGCTCTGTATTATTCACGCGTTTCTAGAAGGATAGAACGAGGCTATTTAAAAAACGATTTGCCGCCGATGTAAACGAACGTGAAAAAGATTCATCGTTATTTACGCACGACGACGCGATGAAGTAATCTCGCATTATATTCCCGGTAATTGCACACCACTTTTCCCTATTAGTCTCCTCCCCTTTTCCCGCGCGCCGGTAATTAAGTATCATCGCGGCCACTCTATTCCCTCGTCTTAACGTACGCGCAAGTTCTTGCCGATTTTTCTGCCATTAACGCCGAAAAAGTGTCGGTGCGATTGGTTACTTTGATTAATTGCGAAGTAAATCGATCAGCTTAAGGCCACCGGCTATTATAGCGGAAAGGTATTCATTAGCAAAGATTAATCGACATCTTTCGCGACACGGGAGAAAACGAGAGACTGGAAAATCGAATTTTCACGATGCGTCGGGCGATTCACGTTCCTTTAAGATCTTAACTTTTCGATTCCGTTCCGTTCGACGAAACGATTTTATAGAATATTCACGCGGGCGGTTGACGAGTCGATAATACCGAGTGAATTTTAAACGCGGAGAAAAGAGACAATCGAAGCTCACTCTCTCCGAAGTCTCGCTGGTTTTATTCGGACATACCGCGCAGCAGCTAACTTACAGAAACACGGCGACCGCGGTGAAAGGGAACAGCGATAAAATGTGTGTTCCAGAACAATATTGTGTATCCCGCAATAAAATTTGATCGGCCAGTGTCTGGAGCACAGGAAGACGGAGAAAAGTGTGCGGCCTGGTTGGCCTTTACGACCGCGGGCCACAATGGGATCTGCTCGTTCGTGTATTATTTACCTTGCACACACGTGCAGAAATGCATCGCGCGTGTCGTACACACGGTTACGCAACCCAGCGCCGCCCGCGACAGACTAAGCCGAACACGGTGTCGCGTTACGGGCGTAACGCGTGTGACTTTTTAAACAATCGTAACTTCATGCTGTCCGTCTTTTTAGTTACAATGTATCCCGATGCGCCGATAGATCCCTGCCGCTCGAAGCGACGAGCTTCCACGTCGCGAACGGCACGAATTAATTGGCACAGTGCGAAGCGCGAGGATCGAGTCTAGAAAAGGTAAGCCTCGGGAACTTGTAGCGACTCGGTGCGAATGTTCTCTAGGGTTGAGTCTAGGGTGGATCTTTCGTTAACTCGTTTGCTACCAATTACGAATATACTCGTGGTTTATGAGAGTGTTTAAAATACAGCCAACGCGAGTATTTTTATCGTACTTTAAATGTATCTTCGCGTACAGCAGTATGAATCGAGAATACAAATGGGATCGCATATTTTATGCCGGCGGCGAATATATTAACATGAAACTTGTCATTGTTACGAAAGAATAAGTAATATCGCATAGAGAACGCTCGAAATTCTCATGGCAGTGAACGTGTTAATTACAAATTAGCCGACATTGCCGCAGTCAATTCGCGAAAGTTTCTCACGCGGAATTTAATCCTGAAACAGACAGGCGCTAGGTCCGATGGGCTGACTTCACTGCGAGAACGCTCCAGGATTAAATTCCGCTTGTGTAGTCGATCTTATTACCAGTGATCATTACGGGGATACTTAAATTATATAATTCGTCGCGGTGATTGAAAGAAAAGTGAAACTCACCTCGTTGGGAACGGCGACGATCTTCTTGATCGCTCTTTCGCCGGTCTCGACATGCTGTCCGTAGAACTCGACGCCTGGCCTGCCGAATCTGTGATCGCGCGTCAGTCAAGGAAAACAGTGAACGGAAAAAAGGATCCGTCTTCGCCTGGAAACGTGACTTGCTCGGTTTCTAGACGAACGGACGAACAAACCGCGGTCTTGTTTCGAAAACGACCGACTTAACGCGCTGACCGAGGCGTTTGTGCTCGCCGCGCGGCGAGAGGAATGCGAGCGATCCTCTCGCTAGGATCTTTGTCGAATTCTGCGAAGATCTCGCGTGTAGCTGCCAACAATTTGTTTGGTTCTCTTGCGACAAACAAACGGGAGGTGCAAAATTATCCGAGTAGAACTTCGACAGTTGCACTCAAGCAACGCATGGCGAGGACGATGATTTAGTTACAAATAAAATCGAGAACGTAGGTACAAGAATTTTAATCTAAGAGGAACGTTGTTAGTCGAACGCTTCTTTAGCCCTGATTTCGTATAATCATCGAGGCTCTACTGTACAACGAAGCAAAACGATATTCTCTTGTTGCGTGTCAAAGAATCTAAATACTTTTCTAACGTCGAACGGAACGTTCGCCGATTAAAAAAAAAGAAGACGTTTATTATCTCCCATGCGAAATGATAATGATCTTCTGATTACGTAGCGGCGGGAACATCTGCCATCGTTGCTTGAATAAAGTATGCGGCAGGCCAACGAAACGCGCGGTTCTCGCATCGAGTACCAGACCTTTCGCGCGTCGCTAATTGGCATTTCCCTTTGCGTTCGATTGCAGCCGATGCACTTGAGAGGAACTCGGTGAACCCGATACGAACCACTCGGGGAAACTCTGCTCCATTTTCGCGAGCTCCTCTGACGAGGCATCGGAAATCCTTTGCCGGGGGAACTTCTGATTTTAATACAAAGAGGAGTGCGTAATTGTGACTGTAATCGTTCGAGCAATAGACGACACAGCCGAGACACGTTCCAAGGAAAATAAACGAAAGCTAGGTGTACGGAATAAACTCTTTCCCTCGAATCGATAGTCGACCACGCAACAAACTAGGTAACGGGGTAATAGCAACACGTTCTACGGTAAATGCAAGTGTACGCCAAGTCTCCGGAGTATTCCCGCGTATCGACCAACCGCCGAACATTTGCTCAACAAGTCGACGAAAGTTTCGAGTTGTCCGACGAACCGTGTTCCATGGGTACCCGTGTTTACAACTGCACTCTCCATTTACCGCGCACGCATTACGCAAAATTAATGTATTCGTCCAGTTCTAAGAATGATTTAATGGTTTCCACGGTGCCTGATCGAGACCTACACAAGAACCGGTCGCCAGACCACCGAGGAACTGCGCTGTACCGTCTAGATTTCAGCGACGATGGAACGCGAGTACGAATTTATCGACGTTGCTTAGTGCTTCCCGGAAAATCAGACGCTGCGAGCGACCGGCCGATTAAACGCATCACGGTGAACCGTACACTTTTCCCACGTTCAGGTTAATTTTGGCGCAGTACTTGACTTCAACTCCGATAATACTTGTGATACTTATGGCGCATGCCAGTGGTTTCTATACAAGAAACCGCTCAGTATTTTTAGCCTGCGATTGATTCATAGACCTCTGCTCTCTAATATCCGTGTTCCGATTGGAGCGAATGAAACTGAGGTTCACGTTCAGACGCGCGTTGAACTTCATAAAGTTATCGGGACACGTCTGACTGATTCCCGAGCTCTCGTACCCCCTGACATTCCTGGGCTCTTGTATCACCTGATATTTCTAGGCTCTCTTAACTCCTGGTAGTTCTTAGCTTGAGAGTAACCTAGGTTATCTAACTGGGATACTTCCAAATTAATCCCGTTGTTACTCACGGCTACCGCAACTCACGTGTACCTGGTATTATAGTGTCCTGTTGCTCAATGCCTTTGTACAGAGAATACTTCAGCTAATATCTATGGACCGATACCTTATAATATCCTGTTCCTTAATATCTACTTGCGCAAAATGCTCTACTACTCTTGTTCACCTCCACCTATTGGTATCCTGATCACATAGCTCCACCGATTCGCACAAATTATCCTTTCCACTTCGATTCATAGCGCCCAGACGTCTACCTCCTCCATCGTCTAACATCCCCAGACTTATCGCAGTACTTTCGACCGGTATTTCCTCGGTGGATCCGGGGGGAATCCCACCTAATCCGGGAAATCCGGAACAAATTGATCGTAGCGTCGCGAGAACTGTGCCGATACAGGTAAGCATCTTAAAATCTTACGCGAAACCTTGGGGATCAAGCCGTGAACGTGTCTCTAAACGGAATCCGTCGTGATCCAATAAACAGAAACTCTAGGACGAATCGATGGGATAGGAAATCGCGCAATATCGTGCAGGTCCCGGCTAAAATTAGACACGCTGCCGTAGAGGAGGCCCGACGTCAATCACGTTTTCTCTTCGACCGCTGCGGTTTTCGACGATTTATCGGCAGACACACGGCCGAACGTCATCGGGCAACTGCGATCCGCTGCGAGACCAGATTATAAATACCGACAGGAAAAAAAAGACGCAAGGTTCGCGGCAAGGGAAACGAAAGAGAAGCAAAAGGATACACCTTGATGGCGCCGGATGCCGTGCCGATCATCATCAGCCGCAGTATCGGGTCCCAGGCGAGGGCCGTAGGATTGTTTGGGAAGCCATGCTGCAGCGTCTGCGAAAGAGAAAGAAAACATTTATCAGTTCAGCAATCGGTGGCCATTAGACTCCACGCAAATGTACCATCATCCGATGGCATTTGATTATTTTGAATTCTATCGGACCCCGAACAGACGAGTTAATGTATTTGATATTATTCCTGCGCAATAAGAATTGATTGCGAGTAGATTAGTGTTTTGGAACGTTCCGAACGGAAAAGGAAAGAAAATGTTCAAATGAAAACTCTTCATTGCCAGCGGACTCTCGTTTCCAGTGGCCGGTAATTAAATAAATATTAAATAAAAGACAGCCAAGTTTGTCCCACTGGACGTGTAAGCGTCTATCATGTTACCCGAGGGTGAAATTTTATCCCTTGCAGTCCGGACTCGGTCCTCTCGCAACAGAGATTCGAGACAGACGAATCTTGTGAAAATATTTCATACTAAAGCGTAATTCACTTGAGACTGAGCTATCGGTGAACATTAGTTCTCCTTGAAATCACAAGATTTTTAGGTCGCTCGGCTTATCGGATCGATCCTTGAAGAATAATCGCCCGAAACGATTTCGTCGGGTATCGAGTACATTAATTCTAGCGGATTACTAATCATAATCTCGAAGATTGTAACTGTTTAAAGTCGACGCTTATCTTATTAATTATGTCATAACGGTTCGTGGAATCGATTATCTCGATGTTCTGTAGTGAAAGGGGAGAAAAATTCTTGCACGCTCATGCGCAGGAAACGTGCTTTCGTTTCTTTATATAGATGACAAGATCGCGGAACTCAATGAACTCAACGCGCATCGCGGTGCTTGATTCATGAATCGGCTCCGTCCATCGTTGCACTCGTTCCTCGGAATAATTGCGCTGCTCGCGCGTAATCAACGTACTATTTATACGAGAAAGTCGCTAAAAATAGTCCTGGTTATCTGTGTCCGTTGCCGGCGTATGGTCGCGAGCACATGAAAAACTTTCATTCACGTCCCGTATCAATTTACGCGGGGGACTTGGCCACGCGTGAGAAAAGGTGTCGCGTGAAAAGGACTAGACTAGGATCTTTGCCCAAGATAAATCTACGAACGTAGCACCTCTCGTACTACCACGCCATAAGCAAGATGCCAGTTTTATTTCCGAAACTTTCATTCAACTTTCAAGGTAACGAACCGATCCTCTGTCATCTTATTATTCACGTATCAATCCTTTGCTCTCTTACAAATGCAATATTAAAATCTTCAATCAATATTAAAATGTGAAGGGTTAAATCAACCCTTAATACCTTGATGCCGTTTGACGTCGCTTGTGACACTCGATAGGCTAAACCCTGAAAACCGCTTAACACACACAGTCATTTATTCCTGTCATTTTCCTTTACACGGAGCCGCCAACGTGGAAGTTCGTTTATGGAATTAAATTAGCGGAGTACGCGTGCGTAGGCACGTGACCAACGCGACGGGGGTTACGTTTGAAAAAAAAAACAAACACCGGTTACATTCTTGTACGTTTAAATGGACTGCGAGGCGCTGTTAATTGAGGCAGACAGCGAGAGACAGGCCAACGATAGCGGTGCTTCCCTTCCGCGACTCGTTACGAGAGCAATTAACAGTAATTACGTGCATCATCCGTTTCCGACTTTCCCCGCGTGACGTTTGCACGCCGCGTCGACGATTTTTGGGCGAATCGACCGGCGGTATTAGTCACCGGTGAGTCAGATACACCGTTGGTTCCCGTTAATCGAGCGGTCTCATCGACCGATGCTACCGCGTGCTAAAGCGAGACAGGGAGCCAGAAGAAATCGCGTTTACGTAAGACGAGTTCACTCGTCAACCGCACTCGTCGGTATCCATCATCGCCTTGTACTCCGCTGGACGAGCTACCGATTTTTATTCCAGTTCATTCGATTATCATAATGACACTGAAAAACGAGGGTGAACGAGAATGAGAACCACTGAGAGAAAAAGTGGAGCTTGTATTTTTAGGGATATCGGTTTCAACGCTGCCTCTACTGTCCGAGAAAAACTTACTGTATATCATTTATCAAGTGTATCAATTCTTATCTGGATTTATCAGGCGTGACTCATAGACGTTTAATCGGAAAACTTATTTTCGTCGAAGTACACGCGGCCTGTAACGAATTGTTCAAGGATAGATCGTACTGGAACGGTACTAAAAGACAACGAGCAACACCTTTCTACCTGAATCGAAAAGATCCTACGGTGCGTCTTGCTGCGCACTGGAGACACCACCAACCCCCAGATTTAGGGCTGCCACGATAATATCGATCTGACATGTTCCCGCTACGTGATTAGAAAAATGGTTGGCCGCCGGTACGCTGCGAAGGCCACGGGGGTGAAAGGAAAGAGGGCGAGACCTTGGCCCAGGTAATTTCCATGAGAAAACGTGACACTGTCTCCGAGTTTCGGGAAGGTCCAATCGCCGGAATTAAGGCAAGGTGGTGCACGAGCCGGTGCACGGGCATAACAAAGGATTAAGTTCTAGTAAAACTTAACCTAGTCTAGCTCGAACGGCTCCTGATCACGATCGTACTAACGAAGTCTGAGTAGGTTGTACTATTGATTCTGCAGTTTGAAATTCAATGTGTTTTTAATGGACAATTAAATGTCATGTTGATAGTGCCGCGTAACTTCATTCCAGGGAACGTAAAAAATTGTTACCCGATCGATAATCGACGCTGCAGACTTTTGGCGTAAATATTTTACGTTGTGGCTCTATAGCCAGTTTTCTAGAATCATGGAGACTATTTTGTGTCTACTGCTGATCGTTGTTGTACATACATACATTTAGTTAATGAATTTATTGAATAAACAGACCAACTTTGCAAGCGAATGTCGCGTTTATGGGTTAACCTCAAGCTGAGATTATCTTAATTTATAAGGGAATATTTTTTACTTAGTGTACCGGGCATGCTGAGTATGGTATCATTTATAAATTGTTTTTACTTTCGACGGTAGATTACGATGAAACTTTCGGAATAATTGACGCGTGTCGGTTACGTAGCTACGGCGAGGAGTAGCTAACGGTGCCCGCATGTATGTTACATGGAACGTAAAAAGGGCTAGGCATCTTATCGTATTTTTGTTTGCATAGAACCGATATCTCGACCGTATCTCTTCGTTCCTTCATTGGAAAACCACGGAATTATAGATAGAATCGACACGCGGAGGCGAAACTGTACATCTCAGAATAATCCAGAAACGGGATCGGCCAGAATTTAATTACATATAACCGGGAAATCATTCGAGCTGGAAGAGATAACGATCGTTATCGTGGAACAGACGAATAAATGTTTTATCGATCCATTAAATATCAAGTACTATTTTTCTCGAGCAACTCGAAGAATACGCTCGTATTGTAATTACTATCATTTTTTCGTCGGTTGAATCTCCGCACCTCGTTCCGGTCCAACGACGAAATAACAACAATCAATGACGCAACGAGATGCAATTTGTTTTTTTCATCGCACCGACTGCAGCATGAACACCGGGCAGTTCTACAAAAGCGGACAGTTTAATTAAGACAAGCGCCCTCCGCAGTAAGGGCTTTCTATTCTTTCCTTTCCAGCTGTGCATCTTAATATGTAGAGCGCACTACTTCCGCTTCTAATTGCCCAACGGAACAAATTAACCTACATTTCTCCATTTTATAACCGAGTAAGGGCATAGGAAAAATTCGAGCAATCATCTCATTAAAATGAGAATAACGCTTACGACATACCAGTATCGTCTACACGTTATGGTACTATAAAACATCCTCCGAATTCTCTATATTCCGACGCATCCAAGATGGCGGCGGATCCATCTCAATTCATATTAATATTTCTAGATGTTCATTCTTACTAGAAATAATATGATCGTCGCCGGTGAATCATGCTGCTCGCACTCTCTCATTAACTCCTTGCCGTACTCCAACGAGTCTGACTCGTGATAAAAATTTTTGGACCAAACATAAATATCACGAGTGAGATATCGGTCGCCATAATTACGGCCCGGATTTTGCCCGGTTAACCAGTTAACTGTGTTTGACGAGTATACACGTCATCGTAAAGCTTGACACGATACCGATACTTTCAGCGATTAATTCTTAATTCTTTCACATAAACATGTAATCCTTCTTTGTTTCGCTTTGATCTTTCATTAAAATATACTCTGCGCGCGTTCGTCCTGCGTTCGACGAGTACACGCTCCATTTTTGTATTATATATTGCGCGCAGAACGAGAGGTTTTTCCAACTAAATTCCACAGTTAACTGGTTAACGCGCTCTCTACCAGCGTCACCGTAATTTTATCTCTTCTACTGCCTCTACTCCGTTTTTACTCTTCTCGTTACTCTCTGCTAATTTTATCTGTATACGTATATTGTATCTTATTTTATTCCACCACATATTTTAACCTACGACATTCCCTGTATGCTTTTTGTTCGTTGATTTTTCTTCATTTCTGTTATCATAAATAACTCCCTCGCATAATTCTTCATTCTATTTGCCATGTTTTACATATATTCACTTATATATATTTATACACCTTATACTTGTACATATTAAGATCTTCCATTTGTACGCTTATTATTAAACAAATACCAACCCTCGCCGCATAGGCGTGTTGCTGTACCTACCCCTGGTCGAGCATTGTAACACCAGGGGATGATGATTTGAAAATAAAGCGGTTTCGTCCCCAGTTCCTAAGCCCTAAGAACTGTGCCTACTTGTCCTTAACGGACAAGACTGTCCCAGTAACGGTCCGGCGAGCGAAAAATCGCCTAACTTGTATCTCGAATCGATCGTACGTAGCCGGCGCGACCTGATTTACACACCCAGTCTTTTCGCAATCCGCGTGTCGTCAAACATCAAATCCGCGAGGCGGGGAATTACACCGCGATAGGGTTTCGCGACGGTGCACTCGATGACCGGCGACGATGACAGCCGGTCGGAGACAGAACCGCTAAAGAAACACGGCCCCGCACACCGCACGACCACAATAATCCTGACTGTGCACCATGCGTCTCGAGGCTGACCGTCTTCTAGACTTTCGGTATCGATTACGTTCGGGTATCGACCTGTTGATTCTCCGCGACGCACGGTTCGTACCGGCGGCGGCATGCTGTATCGTGTTCTCCGCGAAGATGGTTTCCTCCGATCCTCTCGGATATGAAGTTTCTATGAAAGTTCAGTCGCAGAGAAAGTAGTTTTTACGAGTCCCCGTAAGGGAGAGTGCTCGCCTGTTCTAGCAAGTCTCTTAACCCTTTGCACTCGAAAATTATTCCGCTAGATATATTCCTCATTCTCTAATGAAGTATCAATGATACGTTTTATAATTAATATTATTATAAACAATATAGAAATTAAGGGATAGAACTATTCTATTTTAACGTTTCATGGATAATCAAGTTAAATGAAATTTAATATTCATCATCAAAATTCGTAATCTTTCTGTATCTCGAGTGCAAAGGGTTAACGTTACTTTCACCGAAAGTGTCAAAAGACACCCTTTGACGTTTTAATTTAACCCTTTGCACTCCGAGAGTTCTCTACCAAAAATACCCAACACTTTCCGATGAATTATA